AAATAAAAAAACATCCACATGGTTTATTGAAAAGCTTAGTTAAGAAAAACAAAAGGGCCAATCTGCCTCAGAGCTGTTTATTTATTTATATAAAAAATAGTGTAAAAGGATATACCAAAAAATGTTAACAGTTATCATCTATATACTGGGATTTTGGATTATTGCAATTTTCTTCTTACTTATTTGTATTTTCTAATTTATAAAAGATGAGCATGGAACATACGTAATGTATTAAAGACAGAAGGTCAACATTAAATAGGGCATTTTTACATGAAAAAAATAACCTTGTGTGCTACTTATTATGGTCTGGAGAATTGACTTAGTACATGAAGCATCCTCTAGTTCTGTTGCTGCTACATATTTGTGTGTGTGTGTGTGAAAAGCAGTGTTGGGGCATACACAGGTCTTCTGGTCAGACAGCTGTAAAAATACCAAGACAACTTTTATCAACCCTGGCACCAGACATCCTACAGGCCAACTGATTTCAGTGAGTCATGATGAAGGGCACACAGAAGACTGAAAGATACTCTGCAGCATTGTTTCTCAGCCCACAGGGTTATGACCCTCATGGGGATTACAGAAACTGGAGCCAAGTTGCTGGATATCTTCGTCCCGTCCAGGGACTCCCAAGTCCCTGGGAACTGATAGACCATCCACAATGCCCCTTTCTGTTGACCGTAACAAGAACTAATTATGCACAGTTGCTCACAAAGTATTTCACAAACATCATCTGATAAACTCTGTTTGGTCTGTGGGATGGGTATTCACATTTTATAGCTAAAGAAATTGAGGCTCAGAGAGGTTTGGGGCTCAGGTGTAGTAACGGCTAGGATGTGATAAAACTGGGCCTTCAATGTAAGTCTTCTAATCCTGAGTTCATCCTTGTTAGTCAATTCCCATCTTGTCTCTCCACCCCCCGCCCCCAAAACACACACCTATTTCTCCCTTTTCTAGCACCAACCTGAGGAATTTTGACAGGAACTTGGTTGTATTTCTCCTATATTTCATAGAACATCATCATATTTTCTTTATCCCTTCCCTTATCCCCATTTGCAGCTCAGAAATGAGGAAAAGGATGCTTTAGAATGAAAATGCTGAGAATCACAACACTTCGGTGTCCTGGCCCAGCAGCACTGAATGTTATCAAGTCCTGCCAAGTAGAGAACAGAAGAGATTGTGTCAGTGTTTATTATGAAATGGTTTCTAAGACACTCTTACTTGCATTGTATTTCTACTTAACTTTATATTTTCAGAGCTTTTTATGTGCATCTTTTAGGTTGAACTTGTTATAACAACTCTGTACAATATGGATCACCAACCGGCTACAGATAAGCAAACTGAGGCTCAGAGAGGTGAACAGACTGCTTGGAGTCCCACAGTAACAGAGTCTTCAGGAAAGTACCTCTACCTGTAAACAGCATTGTCATCATTCCTGTCTGCCTATAGATAACTGATACTAATTTGAGCACTCAGTCTGGAAAAAATTAGCAACGCATGGGGTCACGTGGGTTAGGTCCTCAACAATATTAACACAATTTGCCACCCACCCACCCCTTTTTGGCAACAAAATCACAAAGAATCAAAAATGGCTGACACTCACTGTTCAGAAGTCCACTTTAATAACATCAGTTTTCCGCCTTGGAATCCCTTGGCAGGACTTCTTTTTCATAGATCACAATGTTGGCGCAGGGCCAAGAGATGGTGAGGGTGACTCACGGGTCACAGCAGTTTATAAGTTGGAATAATAAAAAGGAAGGCAGAGCTGACATCATTGGCAAGGGCAAAATTTTGGTGCTGTGCTAAGCCAACTAATTATAGTTAGTACTGAATAGTATGGGCGGAGTGAAGAGCTGGATGAACAAAGCTATCCCCCAGGAAAAAATCCTACACACCAACTCGACCCCCTTATACCGATAACAATGATGCTCAAAATCCACCAACTTATTTATCCTAAAGTCAAAGAAAAAACAGAGAATTTGCTCAGGCAAACATCTATTAACTAGCATGAAAGAGAAAGTGCTTTATGTTAAGGTGATGAGAGCACAACACACTTGATTTTTGAATTGGCTTCTCTGCAAACTATATACCTAGAGTAAAAAGCACCTCTTTGTTCACTAAGCTACTGCAATTAAAAAAAAAAAAAAGAAAGAAAAGAAAAAAAAATGTCAAGATAAGCTTGGCTTTTAAGTTCACTTGGTGAAAACCAAATGCAGCTACAATTATTCTTAGGCCTTGGTCTGTGAAAGACTCTAAGAGTTAAAAGCAAACCAGCACTACCTTTAGCCCATAAGGGATTACTCTTTTATTAGTATAGTCTTGGGATTAGTGGAAATGTCTGTCTAATGAATGCAGCTACTATATTTGAGCACATGCCTGAATAAGCTACTTGTTGATTGAAACCTATCTATTTATAAGCACTTCTGCACGTTGTGAAAAATCTATCTGTATAACCACGGCATGGCACCTACTCTGAATAAAGGCTCTTTGCCATTTCTCTCTAGGGCTGGTGGAATGAACAGGCAGAAAGGAAGTGTGTTGCATCCACTTAACAGATTTTATTCCTCATTCTTGGCCAGTAGAGTTGCCTTACCTAAACAGCAAGGCAGATCAGCGTGGATGTTATAAAAACAGAAATTGAAAAAAGAATACTTTTCATTGACTCACCCAGGGTTTTAACCTACTAGATTGACTATAATTTGGTCAAATGGTCACGAACAGCCCAGATAAGCCAGTCCTCTACGTAGGTCACAATTTTTGAAATAAGTTATAGAGCAGGCAAATTTGCTACATACATTTCTTTTTCTTTTCTCTTTTTTCCCCCCACTTTGCCTTAGGGTGCATGCGCTTGCCAGAGAGAGGGGAAAATAAGAAATCAACCCCAGAGGGTATGGCTGAGCTACAATCCCTTTTCCTCCATTCTCCTCTAAGGATTTAGTCACACATTCACACGTGCCCAGGGTAATGTTCAGGTCACTCTTGAAAGAGTGAAAACTCTTATCAAGGTCCAGGACTTGATCCGGACTGAGTCAGCCATGTGGGACACAGCACGTTATCCTCCAAGCCACCTGCTGGCCCCACTACATGTATTTATCATTTCTGCTTAGGAATACCACACTAATAACATGTCAACAGAAATAAGTACACCTTAGAGTAGTCCTGTCACACAATTAAATAAGTCAATGTTTCAATGTTGGATATCTTCATTAGCATACTGAAGCTTCATTTGAGGTCAAACCAAACCCTCATCCCTAAATGAGAACCTTGGTGTCCCCTCTGGGATTCTGGAGCTCTGAGCCCCACCCCTTGACTCAGCAAACAGAGAGAATTTGCTTGGCACCATCTCTAGAAGCTTCCTGAGTTTGGGTATTCAGTGTTGAGAAGGGATTCCTTATTCCACTGGAGTTTATCTTCATTTTTCTACAGTCAGAGATCCCTACTTACTATGCTACCTCTGTGGAAAAAGGCAAGACCTTCATTAAAAAAATTTTAAAAAGAGAGAATACTCTTAACAAGTCACAGGCTATTATTATTATTATTATTATTATTATTATTTGTTTTTGGAGGGGAGAGGTTTTTGCTATAGGGTGTGTGCGCTCGCCAGAAAGACAGAGAGAGACAGAGAGATAGAAAGTGAGAAATCACCCCCCAGGGGGATGGCCACACCACAATCCCTTCTCCTCCATTCTCCTCTCAGGATCTTAAGTACACATGCACACGCACCCAGCATGAGTTTAAGCCACCAGGTCCGGGACTTGAACCATGGTTGACTACATGGGAGTTCAGCGACATAGCCATTACGCTAACTGCTGGTCCCGAGTTACAGGCTATTATTAACAGAAACCTCACAAATTCTCTTGGAAAACTTCATAAATTATAACAGGCAAACTGTCCAGGTATCTCACTGTTAAAAAGACCTACATCAGCTACCCAGTGGAAGCTTCTACACAGTAAGCAGGAAAATGCAGGTTTTAGCAGTCTTGGAATCCTGGCTATTTCTCTTTTTAGAGTCAGTGACTCTTAGTTTCCTACTGCTATCACCAGCCCACATAGTAGGGCTCTTTTATGGCGCCAGATGATGCTATGTATAATGCCTGACACCTAGTGAGAATTCAATATCTTGTAGATATTATTATTCATACTATGGGAACTAATAAAGATTAAAAGATCATATCTTTTTTATTTTTCTAATTTTTGAGGCAAAAGAATACTTCTCAAAACCAAATTATTAATACAAGAAAATCAGAGTCAAACCTTATAAAAAAATAAGGCATATGGAATATAAGTATTTAGCCATAATACAAAGCACCAAAAATTCTATGTAAATGCTACACAGTTATTTTACCTCCCTACACATTTTCTTCAATTATATTAAACATTCACATATGTAAGATTACTAAATATAACAAGCAGGTCCAGATCTTTGAAAAGACTTTTAACAGTTCTCTTTTCTGAGATCATTCCAAGATAAAAGAGGGTACTCAGGACAGCACCCTGTCAACTCCGACCCAGAACAACGCTTGAACAGGACAGGAAGGAGATGACCCTTTTGTGATTTGGTTTCTGACTGTTCACAAACACTGCTGCCTTTCTGCCTTGAACCCAAAGAAAAGCCAAGTGAGACCTACAAGTTTCTAACACACTCACGCTCTGCTTCAGTCTTCCACTTGATTCCTAAAGTCTTTGTGCTTTTCAGTATTTCTCTGTTTTCTGTTGGGGTTCACTGCTTGGTACCAATAAACAGTTCATCTTAGGGGCTGGCAAGTGGCGTGGTGGTTAAGGGCGCTGGACTTCCACATGGCTGACCACGGTTCGAGTGCTGGACCTGGCGGCTTGCTTTCTCACTTTCTCTCACTCTCTCTAACTCTGTTTCTCTCAAAATTAAAAAATAAATAAGTGAATAAATAAAGTTAAATAAAATAATTCTTAGAAAAAAAATTTTAAAAAAAGAGTTCACCTTATAACTTTATTCCATTCATTCATTGAACTGTCTACCCATTCATTATCCACTTACCCACCTATTGTTCAATGGCTTCCACAAAACACTTCAATGGAGCCTTATTGTTAACTTATACTATTACTTCATTTTATTGGTCTTTCTCACAGGTACTGGTTCCTTGGGGTATATAACATTTTTTTAAGCCTAGTATGATAATAGACAAGGTAGATAAGAGATCACAGAGCATTGGTAAGTATTCATAACCAAAATTCACTTATTAAAAAAATCCATGAAGACTGCTTTTAATGTTCAAAATATTTCATATTTATGAGTACCTAATTTTTAAACTTACAAAAGCAGTTGTAACTCGCAAAGAAGCTAGGAGTAGAAATTATTCACATCGTATAAATAAGAACATGGAAAAAAACAAGGGTCAAGTGATTTATGCATGGGACCCAAAATCCAGTAACCCATGCCAGAACTTAGAATTCCTCACTATGACTTTTGCACTAAGATTATTAAGCTCAGCTGCTGTCTTCAATATTGTTTCCATAGACATTACTAAGAAAGCATTTTACTTTGGCATTTTTGTAATATGGCACCATTTAGAGCTGTCCTCACCCATAATAACTTTATTGAACAACCATGTTTAGGGCTGGCAATATACACAATGAGGAGGTAACAGCCTGGTTACTAACGGTCAGTGGCTGGGTCAAAATTGAGGTTATGTCATTTTTCTCTTGCATTTTCTTGATTCAGAAGTTAAACCATGCTCACATTCCAATTTAGTCACAAACATAATTCTGACACAAACACAAAATCTAAAGAAGTGTAAATGTTTCCATTGCCAAAGTCACTCTTTTATCGCTTTTGGACAATAAAGCAGCCAATCTAATGATTTCACAAACTTATAGTATGTGATTTTTTTTTTTTCCTGTTTAGACTAAGGTTTTCCAAAGAATGATCCAATTCATATTGGGCTAAGAGAAAATAAGCTCTATTCTAAAAAGAAAACAAATGTATTTGCTTTCTGTACCAAAATACCTCCAGATTAATAAAAACACTGAATTTTATTATAACCAGGTCTAAAGAAATAGAACACTTCTTATGTAGTGTACTTCAGAAAGCATAGGCATTTTGGAATGTCACAAAAACAAGGAAGCTAGCCACAAAACAAGTTTATTTAAAAAAATCAGTATGTTGTTATTCAGATACACAAGTTATAAGAGAAATTCCAGAAAGTTGAAAGCACCTTCTCCAGAAACTGCTCCCAGCACAGTCAATACTGATTTCGAAATTGGTTGCTTAGGTCTTGGAGTTCTGTTACTAAAGCATCCATAGCTGCAACTTCATCAGCTAACTCCATGGAGACTTCTCCACTTGCCACATCTATAAAAAGCTGCTGCAATAAAAGCAAAACAAAACAAATCAAAACAATGAGCATTTCTTTAAAATAAATAGATGCATAATATAGCATTCAAATGCCCTTTGCATAAGACCATATATTATAGTAGCAAGGGCAGCAGTTGTTGTGTTCATCATCCTGGAAATGTACAAATTCAATAATTAAACAACTAATCAAACAACATGCTTGCACTTATAAATTAAAGAGCTCTGGAGGCCAGCAAATGGCTTAGTGGTTATGTTGCTGGACTCCCACGTGGCTGACTGTGGTTCGAGTCCCAGACCCAGTGACTTTAAATTCATGCCGGGTATGTGTGTGTATGTACTCAAGATTCTAGGAGAAGAATGGAGGAAAAGGGATTGCAGTGTGACCATTTTCTCCCAGGAGTTGATTTCTCACTTTCCCTCTCACTGTCTCTGTCTCTCTCTGGTAAACATATGCGCCCTAAGGCAAAAACCTCTTTAAAAAAGAGGAGCTCTGCTCTTTAAAGCAGTTGTTTAAATATTGGTTATTCATTTTAGGGCTAAAGGGTGGTTTCTGGATAAACTGACATTTCAACCAAACAAGACAAACCTACTGTGCATGTAAACCAAATATATTTTATATTCAAATTTATATAAATCATACCCTTTATGTTACTTATTTGAAAATTAATTTGGCTTAGGCTTTAACGACCACAAAGATGATCAAGATTTGGTAAAAGCAAAAAAAAAAAAAAAAAAAAAAAAGATTTGGTAAAAGCAAGATTTTGTAAAAGCAAAGATGATCACGATTTGGTTTAAGCAAAACAAAAATAAAAATTAAGGCAACCCTCATGAGGTTTATTACAACGTACTTCAGTAATGCTAGCATTGCTGAAAGCCCTTGGAATGCCTCTCTAGGAACTGCCTGCTAAGCCAATATAAAGCCAATATAGTCACCCAAGAAAATCAGCTTCAGGATTTTATGACATTTTATGTGTGTGTGTGTGTGTGTGTATGTGTGTACATGAGCTCTCGTGTGTATATGTGTTACTGTGTGTGTGTTTTAAGTAGAGTACAATTTCCTTAGTTTGCCATATATCTTTTTCTTTCTTTTTTAATTTTTAATTTTCTACAGGGTGAGTGTGCTTGCTGGAGAAACACAGCAAGACAGGGAGAGAGTAAGAAAGCACCTCCCAAGGATAATGGTCATGCCATAATCCCTCTCTTCTATTGTCTTCTTGGGATTTGGAGGCTCACACATGTGCCTGGTATGTTTTTCAAGCTGCCGGTTTAGTACTTGAACCTCACAGTTGGCCAGATGGGATCTAGCTGCCTTAATAGCCACTAGCTGGTCCCACCATATCTTTTTCATCAGACTTTTTTTTGACTAGATGATCTGTAAAGCATTCCAACGAAGGGTGATCTAAGAACTGTTGCAATATAATAAGCAAAGAAAATACCTTCTAGGAAAATAACCTGGGCTCAAATAGCATTTGTTTTTCACTAAGAATTACAGGGCTTACAAATCATTATTAATCTGCATCACTTTCCTACGAGGTAGAAGCAACTGGAGAGAAACTGAGGCTTAGAAAGAATGAATACTTTGCTGAGAGTTCCAAGAACATAAATGATAAAATCTGCTCTGTCTTCAGGCTCTCTCATGCTACTCCTGGCAGGGTGAATGACAGAGTGCCAAAGGTAGAGGGATCACTCTATCCTGAGAAAACATGGACTAGATGACTTGTCTGGGGAGTCCTAAGATTCTAGGAGCTTAGTTCTATGAAGTCCCTGACCTGGCAAGAAAAGACCAGAGATGGGCAAACTAAGCCTCCCAGCAGCTATTCAACACAGTTAACGCAATAAATTTCACTTTTTAATGTGTATGAAAAAGGCAGCTATACAAATTTTATGGAATACAATTTGGTTTACTTGACTCAATTTAATTGACTCACACACTCAGTGCATGTGTGAGTGTGTGTGCCCCATATCCCGAGAGGAAAATGGAAGAGAAGGGATTGCAGCATGGCCATCTTCCCTAGGGGGTGATTTCTCGCTTCTGTCTCTCTGTCTCTCTGGTAAGTGCAAATGCCCTGTAGCAAAAACCCTCTTAAAAAATAAAAAAGGAGACATTGAGAGGTAATTGTTCCCATTTTTGGATGATCCACTTGAAGTCTAATGAGCACAAAATCTAAACGCAGATGATGTTCTGAGGCCTCATTTTCTGTATTTCGCACTTTACCACAATATGGAAAAAGGGATGGCACCTTCAGATAGTAATATTTAAGTCATGTAAATACAGGTCTATGTAAAAAGTAAAGTCTTCTAAGAAAATGCTTTGCAGACAGATAAAGGAACCAGCCAAATATATCCTGAAGAAATAATTACAGATGGATTAATGATCTAATCAGAAGTAGGAAACTTAGTTCCTAATCTGGGGAAGAAAATCACATAAAAAAGCTCTGACTTTCTATGAGAGCTCTAGCAGATTTCTGAGAGGCAGATAATTCTGAAGTTATGCTGTCAAGCTGGGAGGACATGTAGTTCAGATAACTAGGGATAGTAAAGTGAGTTAATTATCCAGAGAGGCAAAAATGATGCCTTAACCTGAAAAAAAAAAAATCAAGCAATTAATTAAAAAGGCATACTCTGGAAATGTTTTCACAGAGTAAAACCCCTGTCCAGAAGGAGCCTCCATGTGCCACAGACTCACCCTCAAAAGTGAATCATAATTAGTTTCTAACCCAAAATTAAACAGCGAAAGCAAGTAAATACAAGAAAGTACTAAACAGACCTAGGAATTATATTCCTTTAAATTTTGCTTTGATCCAAACTCACCTACACACTAGAATTACCTAGGAAACGTAACAGAATTCCTGGGCTCCATTCTAGCCCTGATCCCCATATCTGTCAGAGAGTCCAAGAATCTAGTTTTCCAAAAAGTTCCCTGGGTGATTCTTCAGCATTCTGGCCCCAACACTGGTCCACAGGTCAGTATGTGTGAACTAATTGTATATTTCAGTTGTTATACCTGAGTTACCATCTACCTTAGCTGCTATTTTTGGTCAAATCCATATACTGCCTACTTAATATTTATTTATTTATTTATTTGGAGAGGTTTTTGCTACAGGGCACATGCACTCGCCAGAAAGAGCGAGAGACAAAGACAGAAAGTGAGAAACACCCCTGGGGTGATGGCCCCGCCACAATCCCTTCTCCTCCTTTCTCTTCTTGGGATCTTGGGCACACACGCACATGCACTCAGCGTGAGTTTAAGCCACTGGGTCCGGGACTTGAACCACGGTCGACTACACTGGAGTCCAGCAACATAGTCATTATGCCAACTGCTGGTCCCTTAATATTTTTATTTAAATCAATACTTTTTACTTCAAAGCCTTTTTAAAAAGAAATACTATATCCCTATTACAAATGATAAACAAGCAATAATATTTGTGAAATGGGAGGTTGAATTAATAATACTTTTTCTAATATACACTGAAATAATTATATATTAAAACAAAAGGTTGGTGGTGTAGTGGTTAAGGTGCTAGACTCCCACATGGCCAACAGTGGTTTGAATCCTAGACCCAGAGGCTTGAAACTCACACCAGATACATGTGCATGCATGACCAAAATCCCAGGAGGAGAATGGAGAAGGGTTGTGGTGCAGTCTTCCCCTTGCAAGGGGTGTGGGTGGGGTGTGATTTCTGTCTCTCTGGTAAGCGCACACGTCCTATTGCAAAAATCTCTCTCTAAAGACAAAACAGAAAACAAAAGTTTTGCCACAGTGACATATAAGCCACAATTTGGGAAAGTGATAATGAATAGAAGAGCACTGTTTAATTTAAAGAAAGACTTAAGGGTTAAATTGTAAGCATTACTTTTGTTTTTTTTCTTAAAGAACTATTTATTTTAATTTTATTATTATTTTTTATTTGAGAGAGAGTGAGAGAAAGCAAGTTGCTACGTCCAGGACTCAAACTGTGGTCAGCCTTGTGGGAATCCAGCACCTTAACCACCATACCATAACCTGCTGGCCTACGGAAGTGAAAGAGCCCACAGAAGACAAAAACATGCAGCACATCATGGTGTGGCTTTCCACGATACCAAGTTCCCAATGAGTACTCACAATTACTGATGACAGTAGCCCAAAGCATTAACTTTCAAAATACCTAAGTGACCCACATTTAGGGTGGGCTAGCCATTGAGTATGGTCTAGCCATACCCTTACCAGCACAACCAACTACATGGAGGCTGCTGTCTAAAGTGTAACACAGGCCTAAATTTATCTCTGATGTAAATAAAGATTTAAGAATAGTAAGCTGATATTAATGACCTTTTTCCATATCACAATTTTGACTAATTCATATCTCACTCTCACCTTTGCTTTAGATAACAAGCCACGTAAGTTGAGCCGAACTGAAGAGAGCACTTGCACAGCTTCTTGGGGACTAGATTTGCTGTTACTGCATTTTATCGCCACTGGAAGATAAATGTGGAAAAAACACTAATTAAACATTGACTTTTTTTTTTTAAGATTTTGTCAGATGGTGTGTGCACTTGTTGGAGAGAGAGAGAAGGAAAATGAGAAATCGCCCTCCCCCCAAGGGGAATGGCCATGCTGCAATCCCTTCTCCTCCAGTTTTCTCTTTAAGATTTTGGATTTTCGGATACACACACACACATATACACATACATGCTGGCATGTTTTTTGTTTTTTGTTTTTTTTTTTTCCTTTTCTTTTCTTCAAGCTGCCGGGTCTGGGACTCAAACTGTGGAGTCAAGCCTGTGGGATTCAGTGCCTTAAGCACCATGCCACCTGCTGACCCTGCTAATGATAATTTACAGGTAGGAAGACAAATTACTTAATTGGGATTTTATAATAACATATTTCTGAAATATTCCTACCTGTAAAGTTTTATCTTTAAGAAAAGATAACAATTATGTGCATAACTCTTCCCTTTATCCTTTTTTATGAAAGAAGTTTACCGTTAAGAGGAATTTCAAGGTGATTGAGGGGAGTTATAGATCATTAGGAAGAGATCCTTTAACACAAGGAGGGGACAAATGGATTTAAAATATGAGCGTGGTTAAGCCATGCCTGGCATCAGCAGGGAAGGGGGAGAGCAAAGTCACTCATCCCTGGCAACTCTGTGTCTGGCACTCTGGGGAACCCACTTTCCTAAAACCTGAAATGATGAAGGAGGCAGTCTCCTCCCTGGCAGAAGGCCTGGCTATTAACGCTTTATAAGAACAAGTGAAAGGTTGTGCACAAGCATAACACCTGATATTTCTGTACTGATTTGTTTATCTTTTCATTCCTTGAGATAACGTTCACCGAATTAAAAAAAAAAAAGAATAACCAGATCCTATTTTAAAACTAAACAGTGCGGGAACAGCAGATGGCATAATGATCAAGTTGTTGGACTCCCACATAATTGACCACAGTTTGAGTCTTGGACCCCATGACTTAAAACCTGTGCCAGATGCACGTGTGTGCATGCCCAAGATCTAGAGAGGAAAATGGAGAAGAAGGGACTGCATTGTAGCCATCCCCCCAGAGGGTGATTTCTCACTTTCTGTCTGTCTCTCTCTATCTCTTCGGCGAGTGCATGCGCCCTATAGCAAAAATCTCCCCCAAACAAAAACAAACAAACAAAAAACGAAACAGTGCAAGAATTAAAGTCTATTTCATTCCCTAGATTGTAGACCAGGGAAAGAAAAAAAATTCTTTTTTAAGTTTATTTATTCCATAAGGTAGAGACACACAGAAAGAGAAGGGAGGAAAGTAGGCACCCCCAGTAGGCTCTTCATGCCATGATCCTACCTCAGCCTCAACCAGCTAAGATGACAGCCAAGCACACACCTGGCATGCACAGAGAGACCTCAAGACACAAACTCAGGACCATATGGCCTCAGCATCACTGAGCACTGAGTTACTGCCATGCTCTGACCACTGGTCCTGGGGTTATTTTTTTTAAAACCTTTGTTTTCATTCTGAAAAGAATAAATATAGGGCAAAAAGACAAACCACACTGTTAGTTTCTCTCCTCAATCCCATTTTCAAAAGGCACTAGAGATGGAGATAGAGATAAGAGGGAGAGAGAGGGAGAAATAGCCTGCTGTTTCAAATCATCAGAAAATCCAGGAGGGTGGTGCCTCTTCCATGGAGACTGTAGTCAAACATCTTAACTGTTACTTTAAAAGTTCCTGCATGGTAAAGAACATAAGAAACTTAGCCACCACTTTTTCGCAGAGAATAAACTAGCATGTGGCCAGACAGGGGTGCAGCAGTAACATAAGGGAGTGTATTCTGGACCCACATGTCAAGGGCCCAGGTTCATGTCCTGGGGCCCCCTGTGCACACTGAGCACACAGGCATGTATACCCGTGACTAGGCTGGCTGAGGCTAGGGGTGGTTAGTGTGGTGAAAATCCTGTCAGAGATGCCTCTCTTTCCCCATGAAATAAATTACATATATATACATACACACACACACACACACACACACACACACACATACATATATACATTTAAAAAAGAAAATAGCAGAAACTGTAAGTGAATACCCTCAGACAATATTATTGTACACATAACGACAACACTGAGGTTATAAATACCACATGGAGATAGCACTGTATTGTCAAGCTTTCTTTTTAAATTTTTAAAATTTTAATTTATTTTACACATTCAATCACTATACATCACTACAGCTTGTAAAGTGAATTTACCCAACATGAATATACTTCACACCAGTATGGTTGAAGATACTGTATGTTATCACCAACAGATAATCATCCATTTCTGTGACCCATAAATATCTTGCCTCTCTATTTTTCTCCCTGATTCCTTTCCTCACCCTCTCCCCCTTCTCCCACCCTTTCCCCACACTGTCTCTAGTATCTGTAATCATTTTCCATAATTCTACATCCTCTAAGCTTTCCGTTTCCTCCACAGAGTGAGGACAGTCTGTATACATTAAGTAGAGACATACGATGTCTTTCTTTCATAGCAGTAAATCTTCCATGCCAAACTTTCCCAGGCATGCGGCTATTCTTAACAATAGCAACTGCTTTGGTTTGAACACGTTCCCCCAAATCTGTGTGTTGGTATTTAGTGAGTTATTGTTACAGGAGTAAGAGGGTTGAAACTTAATTGACTATGGTGTGGAGAGGTTGGGTCTCTGGAAGGAGATTAGAATCAGGGGGGAACCTCCATGATTGGATATCCTGGGTTTATAAGAAGACATGTAGACAAAGACACATGCTCCTTCCCTCTGCCATGCTGTGATGCAGCAAGAAGACCCTTGACAGATGCCAACACAGAACACTGAGCCAAATAAACTTCTATTCTCTTAAAGTAACTTGACTCAGGTATTTAGTTATTAAGCAGAGAATAGACTACTGGGGTGTCAGAGAAGTCATGATGCATCTTTGCATAGAAAAATAGATCATAACTTTCCTGACAACTCAACAGAACAGTAACCAGGTAACAAGCCACACAGAAATTTAAGAAAAGTTATATATTCTTTTCAGAATTGGGTGGGGTAGAGAAACTACTGAGAAAGCCAAAAAAGGGTATAAAATAACAGAGAAATCCAGCTCATTCTTTAAGTGCTTGTATAGTAAAGCAACAAGGAAAGGGTCAAGATTTATCTTTACAAATCTAGAATATCAACAGAAACCGAAGCTGGGCATCCACTCAAATAGTAAGATGCTGCAGGAGCACCAACATGCAATTCGTTAAAGTCACAAGAGAACTTAAAAGAACAGACACTTGTTTTTCTCCAAGTATTGCCTGATGAAAAACAACAGTTTAAAACTAACTTTAAGATGCAAATAAAGATTTCCCTAGAGTAACTCTCTAACCTGCATATTTACACGTGACAGGTTTAATACCATCACTTGGAGATTACAGAAACTATCATGGCTTCAACTGTTACAGAGCTAGTGGTTCACAGAAATATTTACAGTTGGCAAGTTGAAGTAGATAAGTTCTTCAAAGCAAATCTCACCCTACTAGTATTGCACATAACACACCTTCGTGTGGTTTCCCCCCACGTAAACAATCTGTCTATACAGGTCAAAAGCATAAGGACTGAAGCCCGTATGAGCCCACCATGAGGCCAGCGCAAGCCATGTGAATTCCAGCCACTTCAAAAACATCCTTCCACTGATGTGTCTACACTGAATTTTAGCCAGGTAGAGTTCAGCACTTCTACCTTATTTGCTGAGGCAAGGTACTCCAGGAAGTTGGATATTTATATCCATTTGGTCAAAGGTATCAGAGGTCATAAGCAGCATTATTAACTGCCAAGCCTATTTCTGAATTAAAAAACAATTCTCTGACATCTGCATAGGCAAGTTAAACCTTATCCTTGACCTTTTTTCTCTTTTTTAGTTGTGATCCCCTTAACATATAACCCAGATACTCTACTTCAGAAGGAACCAAGTATGGGAAGGGTAAGAGATGAACACTTAAATCATGTGTAAAAAACTGCTAAATGTTTGAATGCTTTCATTTATCCTTTGTAACAACCATAGGTAGATATTATCCCCATTTTACTGATGAGGAAACCAAAGCCCACAGTCGCCAAGCAAGCAGGTGAAAGAGCTGGTCCTGGAGCTTAGCTCTCCCTGATTCCATTCAGAGCCCTGCCCTTTTGTTCCTGGGTGGCTTTCTCTCTGCTGTAACTATTACTGGCAGAAAGAAGTTAGGCACAGAGGCAGCAGGGGGACTTTAGGATATACTCATAGTCCTATGATGCAGCTCTTAACATTAGGGCTTCATAATTATTTTATTCTTTTAAAGAATTATTTATTTAACTTAATTAATATTATTATTTTAATTGCATACAAGAGAGAGAGAAAGAGAGAAAGTGAGAAAGCAAGACATTAAATCCGACACTGAAACCATAGTTGGCGATGTGGGAGTCCAGTGCCATGCCACCTGCTGATTCCAGGGTATCATTATTTTATTAATGAAGGGCATCACACAGCCAAGTTCAAATATAAATATAAAAATGCATAACTAGGGGCTAGGAGATGACATAGTGGTTATGTTACTTGGACTCCCACATGGCTGACTGTGGTTCGAGTCCCAGAACTGGTGGCTTGAAAATCACACTGGGGGTGTGTGCATGAGTGCTCAAGATCATGAGAATGGAGAAGAAGGGACTGTGGCATGGTCACCCTCGCTGGGGAGTGATTTCTCACTTTCCCTCCTATTGTATCTTTCTCTCTCTCTCTCTCAGGTAAGCATAGGTGCCTTTAAAGCAAAAACTTCTTAAAAAGAAAAAAGCATAACTAAATTTAACTGGTGTAATTTTCATCACTGCAAATAACTAAAAGTAGTCTTCATCTGGACTAGATTTATCCAGCCAACATACGTTTTTATAGGTAAGGTGACCTTTCCTCTCAAATAAAAAACCCTCTGAATTTTCCAAAGATAGAGAGATTAGATTGTATTTGAGATTTCCTTGTACATGCCACAGCTCTTTGATTATTTATTTATAATCCAGAGAGCTATATATTTTTATAAATAAATATTTCTAAAGGAAGAATATGAGTGAAGAAAAAGTTAACAGATTTCCTTAATACTACTTAGCCAACAGAAATGGACTCTGTATGGAGAGGTTACATACAGTAGTAAAGGTACTTCACATTCCTAAAAACATTTTTAATGTCTATTATTTATTCAGACAGTAGTTAAACTCCTATCCTGTTTTGGGGCAGTAGGTGGTATGGTGGTTAAGGTGCTGGACTCCCACATGGCTGACCACGGTTCTGATCCCAGACCTGGAGCTTGCTTTCTCACTTTTCCTCTCTCTCTCTCTGGTCAAATAAAAAAAAAAAATCATAATAATGAATAAAATTAAATAAATAATTCTTAAAAAAAAAACCCACACAATAAAAAACCCTCTATTCTGTTTCTTTGTAGTGTTCCCAAGTGCCTATTTCATTGGCCTATAAATATTTGCTAAATTCAATACAACAATTTCAATAAGGTGAAATAATCTGAAATTATTGGTAATGGAATTTTACTTTTGCCTAACGCTCTTTTTCTAATCAGTAAAAAATACACTAAAATATGCCATGGGTATCAAATGTTACACTAAATACCATGTGCAAGTCCTAAGGCTCTTTGAACGACTTCCTTGAATGATGTAATATCTTTCTCCCAACAATTGGACTGTGTGTCACACTTGTACGCCTTCGAGAGACACTGGAATGCCTGAGGAAAGAGAAAGAGCAGCCTTCAGAATAACAAGGAGGATTCACATTTCAAACTCTTTTTCCTGGAAGTCATATGGCACTAATTCTAAATGGAAAACCCAGCATCTATGCTGTACTTTTATTCTCATCAAAGAAAAGGTAGAGATGCACCCCAACAGCAATTAAGCAATTTTTAATAGAAGAAATCAGATAAACAGATATGATCAGAGACACTTTCCTGTAACCAGAAAAATATAAAGGCCAGGTCTGGAAATCGGTAAGAAGTATAGAGATTCCTCACCATTTTTAGCCATCATCTTAAGAGACCTGTTTCGAGAATGACAAGTAAACTTGGTGAAAACTATAGACGTGCTAGTAGATACATAATCTTACAAAAGCTTAAAATGTTCTCTTTTAAATCTTTGCAAATTCTTGAGGGAGAAGTCATAGGTCGGAAAATTCGGAGTATCCTTACTTCTGTATTTGCAGCAGAGAACATAATTCAAGAAGAAATGGAAGGACATAAAGGAGTGTGTGCACGCATGCACGTGATAGTGTTCTCTGAACTGACAAGGTAATGCTAGAAGCCAGCACTGTAGACCAGAGGAGGAGAGAATGGCTAAGAATCCCATAGATGGAGATGTACCATGGCTAATTCCAAACGCATGCAAGGGGTATATTTGATTTGTTGTAGATATCTTGAAAAGACACACAAAACAATGATCTTAACCTTGAAACTCTGGGGACTCCTTTAAGTTCAAAGATAAGAGGACAGAGGTATAATTTGAGCGTAACTGCTGTTCTTACACTTGTGACAAAGGGCCAGGGCAACCTTGGTGAAGCATGATATGTATATTCAGACTTTAAAAGTTCTTCTCTGATATCCTCGTCTAATTTCTTCTTCTTTCTCCTTTTTGTAGTCTCCATCGCAGACCTAACCACTCTTCCTGTCCTTGTACCCAATCTACCTCAGCAATGAACCAACAAAAAGGGGGTAGAGACAGTTTGCTGCAGATACAGTAGGGGCAGCAGGTTAGAGAAACCCTTTTGCAGGACACAAAGAACAACCACATGGAGAAAATTTCAAGTAAAGTGAAAGGATGAATATGACAAGTCTGGACCTAGCCACAATTCAAAATGCTTATGTTAAAGACTCAGAGTCCAATTGAAATTGAGCATATCAATCTCACCTTTTAGGTTATTATTATTTTGAAAGAATTATGTATTTAATTTTATTTATTATTATGTAAAAAATTTGTTTTAAGAGAGATTTTTGCTATAGGGTGTGTGCTTACCAGAGAGACAGAGACAGAGACAGAGAGACAGAAGGCAAGAAATCACCCCCCAGGTGGGATGACAATGCCACAGTTCCCTCTCCTCCATTCTCTTCTTAGGATCTTGGGCATGCACATACACACGCCCAGAGTGACTTTGAAGCTGTTGGTTCTGAGACTTGAACAGTAGTTGACTACGTGGGAGTTCAACAACATAACCATTCCAGCATCTGCTGGTCCTTATTATTTTAAAATTTGACCAGAGAGAGAGAGAAAGGGAAAGTGAGAAAGCAAGCTGTTAGGTCTGTGGGAGTTCAGTGCCTCAACCACCATGCCACCTGCCGGCCCTACCTTTTAGATATTAAATTCTTCCCTCACCCATCAGAAAAGCAAGTCCACTACACACATGCTCAAACAAAAGACAAGAGCCCAAGAAGACTGAAGGACTTACCTTCTCATTTTCTTCTGGCTTCTCACTCTGCCCGTTTCCATAGACCTGGGCATATAACCTCCAGATTTCTCCATCATTTGTCATTCTTGAAGTTACTCTGCCAAATAACTCCTGCAGCTTTCCTTTGAGACTGGTTGCAACATTTCCACCTCGATCAGTCATCCCATCACTCACTGCCTTGACCAGAATTTTAAGGACCTTAAAATACACAGAAAAAACTGGTAAGCTAGAAACTGCCAAATAATAACAGAAAACAAAGAGCTACCATCAACATCATCAAAGACTAGACCACAGAAACCTTGTAAAATCTATTAGAATATCATCCTACACCTTTTTAACAACAAAATAAAGGTTCAGCCATCCTAAGTCTTACTCTAGAATCTCATGCAGATTTCCTTTTGGGATGTCCCTTCTCAAGTTCTTTGGAGGGCTCTTCTTTAAAAGAACCCCTACTTGATGGTGTCTCTTTTCACCTAGAACATTCTCTCTTTGAATGATTGGATCCACATGCAGTGGATGTAGATTGCCAAGTCTTCTCTGATTGTGCCTGTGCAGCTCCTGTCCAGACATCGGGACTGTACACCTTAATACTGCTGGGTAGCTCCTAAGAACATCTCATACTCATCTATGCAGGAGGGAAACAGATCTCAAGCCGCCTTCTTCCTGTTGTCTCTAGATTAATTTATCCAATTTCCCAGAGCCAATAATCTGTATGGAATGAGTCCTAAACCCAGCCCCTCACTGACTTTTAACTGGACTGTTGTGATAACATTCTAATTCTGCTTAAAGAGGTCCTGGCTCCTTCTAATTAGGGAATGATAAACTGTTAATGCATTTGAATTATATGCTAGGTACTTAGAGAGTATCTTCTCATTCCAATCACCTTAGGTCAGCCCCCTATTTAGAAACTTCTTGCCTATCTTGCTCTGTTAGTCTTTAACATTCTATCCCAAGATGCTTTGAATGCTGATGGATTACAGTGAGCACCACAGCAGGTTGTATTGCTATGACAAGGCACAGCTGTCATAGCTGCAGAAGGCTGTGTATCAAGCAGCTCCCTGTGAGCGTAGAAAGTGCATCCTCAATTTTCCACTCCTTTGATGAGGAATAACAAAGAACTAACTTGGAGGGAGTATTCTAAGATCTTGCAGTCCATGGGCTGGCGGCAACAGTCCCACTAGGAACCTGTTAGAAATGCAGCCCTGGACAGAGATGCTGACCTATCTTGGACTGAGATTCTGCATTTCTAGCAAAGCCCCATATGATGCCAATGTTGAGCACACTTTTGAGGACCAAGGTTCCAAGAGTCAGGTGTCCCCACCTTCATCCTTACACAGAGAAACCACATTTCATCATTTTGGTTTACTTAGTCTTTGTTGTCTGTTTAATAATTATTTAATTTAATTATTATTTATTATTTATTTTAAATTTGGTATAGGAAATGTGCACTCACCAGAGAGAGAGAAAGCAGGCCACCAGGCCTGGGACTTGAACTGTTGATAGCCATGTGGGGAGTCCAGCACCTTAACCACCATGTTACCTGATGGCCCCTCACATTTCGCTATTTTGTATCACTAATGCCTAACATAGTGCCAGCACATGACATTGATTAAATATTGTGTCTGAAAGAAAGACTAAAAGAATACACATCTTTTGGAAAGTGTTGCTAAAAGAAATGCAATCAATATGACACCTTGCTCTCTCTCCTCATAGAACATTCTGATCTATGCATGAAATGTGGCCAAGGAATTGAAGCTCTTTTGGAACGTGAATGCTTTTAAAATGTAAGCTCAAACTCACGGTCCTAATTAAATACAGTGATAAAAGTGGACAGAAAAACATTCAGTTATGCTTTTTTCTTTCTTGTTTGAACAAAGTACATTATCTCTGAATGTAAATTCACATTACAACCTCACGTGTACGGTTTTAATTCCGAAAGAAACAGAATTCATATTAGAATCCCACTCATGGTTGTAAATCTGAAAATGACAATGCAGAAGAAATACTACAAATGTGTACCACTTGTTTCAAGTAGCCTGTACGCATTCTATAAGCATTTCAGGGATTAACATGTTTTGAAAGGGATGGTTTATTAAAATGGTTACTAACATGTACAAATCAAACAGATACAAAATTAGTAAAATACTTTGCTTCTTGTTGGCCAGTCCCCATCCCTTCACTTTAACCTAGTCAAAGATACAATGGGGGAATGAAAGTTTCTGGTCTTCTTGCCAATAAAAATGGAACTGCAGTACTGGTGTTTGAGGGGGGAAAAGTTGTTGAAGTGTGTGTGTGCCTGTATGGTGTTTGGGGGTATGAAGGAAACCATATAAGGGCAGGAGGTGAAGTGTCTGTGTGTTGTGGTAGGGCAGGTACTAACCCACTTCTACCCAATCTGTATGCACATACCCCAAGAGAGTGGGAGGAAGGCAACCTGCAATTTGTTTTTACACTCTCTATCTACATGTTCAACAACCAGTTAGCTAGCTGCATCTGGACCTCAGAAGAGAATAGACAGTGACCGTGATGATAGCAGATATTGTCTCAAAAGACTGTGTTATGTAAGAATGCAGCTACTGATAGAATCCAGAATACAACATTTAAGAGGGCAGGCAGCATGTTCTCACTCAACTGTGGAAGCTAACACTGAAGCAGACAGTAGAATAGTGACTACCAGAGACTGGGAAGGTACAGGGCAAATGATAAAGAGGGCTGGCTAATGGTTACAAAAATACAGAAATAATAACTAAATTTAAAAAAAGAATTATTTACTACATTGTATTTCTTATTTTTAAAAATATGACTAGAGAGAGAGAGAGAAAGTGAGAAGGCAAGCCACCAAGTCTAGGACGTGAACAGTGAGTGGTCAATCATGTGGGAGTCCAGTGCCTTAACTACCATGCTACCCGGCCCAAGAGAATTAAATTATAGTTCAGGATTATAATGGATGACTATAATTAATAATGATTTACTATATATTTCAAAATAAGTACAAAAGAGCATTTTAAATGTTCCCAACACAAAAAAAATGATGTGACCAACGTGAGTAATGGATATGCTAATTACCCTGACAGGATCATCACACATTGCACATGTGTATCAAGGTATCACTGTAACCCATAAACAAACACAGCAAATATTCAAATGGTAGGTAACATCCATTCACTTTTGAGAAAAGTGATAGAGTTTGTATTTTACATTTAATTAAAGTATATTTAGGATGGTTTCTCTTGAACCCTTCTCATCCCACATCCCCCCCCCCAAAAAAAAAAACAAGGAGAGCAGACAAATAGAATCCACAAACGAGACTAAAAAGGAGTGAGCAAAAAGGCAGGAGAAAGTGGTAACATGACAACCAAAAGTTACAAGGAAAGTTCATCTATAAAAGGTCAGAGCTGGAAGAGACCAACCAATTTGGCGATCACAAGGTCAGTGACTACCTAGACCCAAAGCCAGAACGTGGAGGGCAAGAGAAATCAAGATTTTATACAAAAGGCTTACAAAACAAATAAATGAAGAAAAACATGAAAACCAAGACGATTATTAACATCATGGAAAACAAAGCGCAAGTCTCCTCCCTAATAATCACAGTAAACCAGAATGCCCATTTTGAATATAACTTGTGTAGGCATATAATATTAACAGAGAATACCAAAAAGTGTAATATAAATACACTGGAAAGATAAGAAAAGGAAGTGGTGGATGCACTGGTGTAAGACAGTTAAGTTCTCATTCACTAAAACAGGAAGTCAACAGATAGTGCCTAATTTGAGTTACGAAATAACAGTATACAATTATTAATATAAACTATGGAAATGTGCGAACTAGGGAAAAATGTTCACATGTTGAAATATTCATTTTGTAGCTAAATAATGTGATTGAATGTATAAAAGAAAATGAAATAAAAATTTAAAAAAGAAAAAAATGTTATTTCATGCACCGAAGACAAAAAAAATTTATAAACCTCACAGACTATAACCACCAGGGCCATTGAGACACTCTTTTCTTTGTCTGCTCAGGCCCAGTCCTACCTCTCAGGACTGTACTTTTGCTTTTGCTTAATAAAGTACCTTTTCCTTTTGCTAAAAAAATAAATAAAAATATTTTTGCAGTAGAATCATGCAATATGTATTTTGCACTTATCTTACTATACTCAACATTGTTTCTATGATTTGATCTTCTTATTGTATACACCTGTGAAAAAATTGTGCTTCTTTCTTTAGTCCATAGAATATATCCTGATTAATTTATCCATCATGATGTTGCCAAGCGTCTGATTTGTATGCGTCTTTCAACTGTTAATGATGGTCTTCAAATCCTTGTGCATGTCTCTCGGTACAACATCTCAGGTATGCTGCACATTAGATTCGACTCTCTCCAAATTGGGTGTCACTTTGTACCTCCAGCAAAAGCATATTAAATGTTTGTCATCATCAGATTATAAGATTTTCTCAGACTTTAAAAAAAAAATCATTAAAGTTTGTTTAAGGCAGCTGACCCCACATGGCCGACTGCACAGTCTGAGTCTCAATGAAAAGGATGAGCTCCCTTAGGGCGCAGTCTATAGGGGCAAGAAAAACTGTGAGGACAGAGCTTGGCTCTCACAGAGAAGAAAAGATGAGGACAAGGTGGCAGAAATTAGACTGCAGCAGTTGGAGAGGTAAGTGTGAAATCCTGAAAGTGAACAAAGTGTTTCAAGAAGAAAGACGAGTTCAACAGTGTCGAAGTTGTAAATATCAAATCTCTCAGTCTTTTCTTTAATGGAATATGGCTTTTTGTCACAATAAAAAGTCTTTTCTATCCCCAAGCTAACAAAAATATTTCTATACTTTTAGAGCTTTTATGATTTCACTTATTCAATAATGATGATGATGATAGAATCTACATTTAAATAGCACTTGAATGAACCAGGCACTGCTCCAAAATCTTTTATATATATTAGCTCCTTTAATCCTGATAATAATTAATTCCTTTAATTCTCAAAATAATCCTGTGAAGAGGTGCTGTTGTTGCTATTATTTGAATGTGCCCTCCAGACTTCACGAGTTGGAAACTCAATCCCAAATGGAATACTGATAAATGGTGGGGCCTTTAAGAGGTGAGAAGATTCCAGGAGACTCTGCCCTCATAAATGGATCAATGCTGCATCACAGGAATGAATTCCTGATAAAAGAATGAGTTCAGGTCCCTTCCTCACA